CTCCTAGTAAAGAATTGTTACTCCCATTCCCATATCTTTGCCTGAGAGCCTTTTAATTTAAAACTCCTAGTAATTCGGAGGGAGGGGGTTTACCTTCTCCATTGCACAGGAGGCTTTAGCCCTCCTTCACAGACTGCTGTCTTGTCGAACCAAGACATCCCCATAACTGAATGGCTGGCTAAATACAAATCTCTGCATTTAGTCTCAGTTATAAATATGTGTATATGATCAATGAAATAAGATCTAAAAAGTCCTTCAAAGACTTATGCAAATGAGTGTAATCTGTAGACATGTCAACTTCAAGAAAAGTGTTGAGAATTAGAGTGAAAATTTTGCTTTTCCACCTAATATTTACACTTTTTTTGCTAATTATCATTTCTTAAAATTCCATTTCTTTTTCTAGTGAAAATAATTTGTGCTTAGTCAAAAGATAAGTTTCCCAATTGTAAAAAAGATGAGTTTCCCAATTGTAGTTGTGTGTCTGATTTTTAACTGTTCTAAGTACCTGTTTTTGTTGTGGAACCACATGAATGATTACAACCTAAAATTATGTAACCCACTGGGAGTCAACACATTTGTATCAGGTATCTAAGGGTATCAATGCATCTGCTTTTGTAGGCTTGACTAATTTTAAATTTTTACTCAATAAGAGAAACAGAAAAATGAAGCAAAACAAAATGAAACAAAAGAAACTAACCAAATAAAAACAAAACACACAAAAAAAAAATTTAAACCAAACAAAATAAACACAAACAAATCCACAACAAACCAAGAAAACAAAACCCAAAAACCTGAAGACTTCCCTGAAGTCTAAAAACATATAAACTATGAAGAAGTCAATTAGCATTTCTTGACCCTAGGAAGTTATTTTAATTAGAAATATAAACATATAATTTTCTTGAAATTGTTATAGTCTCTTCAGAGAGGGAATGCCTGAGCTTACAGAAAAATGAAACATTTTTTGCTTTAAAATTTTTTTCCCAAAATAAACCAGGAAGAATTGGTGTCCCTCAGATCTCCCATTGCATTGGAGTCCTGGCTAAGTAAGTGAACTTAAAACTGAAAGACCGCAGAGGAAGGATCTTGTAATGGGAACAGAAGTTTCTAACATGATGAGGGTTCAAATTTAATTTAAGAATCTTACAGTTTAGTAAGTTGTCAGCTAATGTGTAGGAAGTATCCAAACCCTAGGATGCCTAGTTTAACTCTGCCACTGGATTCTGCAGCTTGGTGTGGGCCTTGAGAGCCCTCAGTAGCACGTGGCTCCAGCTCCCTAATAATATCAAAAACTTGTCATCCCTAACATTGAATGATCTTTCTTATAAGTTTGTCTAAGAGCAGAGAGCCTCCAGACCCAGCAGATGAGCTGGCAGGAAACAATGCTGGCTTTTCAAAAAGCCTTTAAAATATATTGGGCAGGAATACTTGTTCATGAAATTTATACCATTAAAAAAAAAAAGATAAAAAAGGAAAAAAATGGAAAAAAAAGGTGCACCATTAGTATATCTTCAAGACTTCTGTTTATATTTCTAAATTACTGGTTTTAATTGTACACAATATTGAGGATTTTCTTATAGATTCACCTCTGCTCTCATTATTATGGTTATGGTCACAAGCCAACCAGGCATTTAAGTATTCCCAGCATAGATATGTTCAAGACATGAAAATCTATTCTACAGGAAAAAGCCTTATTCTTAATAGTATCAGAGGAGCACTGGTAGAATGAATTTACTGTATATCTGAAAATGGGGAATAAAATATGACAGTAGGGTAGAAAATATTAAATGAAAATATGAATGCCTAACATGGTGTGGGGTGCATTTCCAAGCAGCATCTGCTGCATTTCTACAGTGCTATATAATTTAGAATTTTCTGTAAGAACTTTGTGGTGTGGAGGACTTAGTATTTTGAAATTTGATTTAAGCATGGGGTGAAACCCCTAAATGCGAATACTGTCAGAGAAGGAGAAAGTGCCCTGGACTTCCAGTGTCCTCCATGACTGATCCAGTTGTGGGGACATGGAAGTCTCACTTTTTTTTACCTTGGTCACCTGCAAAATCATCCAGCTGGAGAAAACATTGTTATGGGAGGATGCTTGTGTTTGAAGGCTTCAGTATCCAAAATGCACAGGTCCCTTCCCTGCTCATTTTGTTTGTTTGCTGTGGGATGGTACAGTGGTTGCAAAGCAGTTGTTGCAGATCCTGCCTGCCTCACCATCCCCTCAACTCACCCCTTAGCAGAAGGTCACCAGCCTGTCCAAACTCTTACTGGAGAATCAGGGAAATTTTTTGGAAATCTGGCAGCTCTGAGGTTCTGGAAAGTGCTTTTGCCAGATTTTTCTGGGTGGGCAGTTGATCTGCAAGGAGTTGGGTGAAATTCTCAATGTCTCGCCCTAAGGGAATGAATCTCTTATGTTCTTATTTGGGTTCCCTTGGAACAGGAACTAAACTAGGTTTGTAGCAAGCTTTATGAAATTATGAAATCATTTGTGTGGGGAAAGATCATCAAATCCATCTGTTAACACAGCACTGCCAAGTTCACCCCTAAGCCATGTCCCTTAGCACCACATCTGCAGTTTTTTAAAATATTTCCATGGATGGTACCTACACCACTTCCCTGAGCATCCTGTTCCAATGCTTGGCAACCTTTCAATGAATAAATTGTTTGTAATATCCAATGTAAATCCATCCTGGAGCAAGTTGATGCTGTTTCCCTCCTCACTACAGCCTCCTTTCAGGCAGTAGTAGAGAGTGATAAGGTCTCTCCCAAACCTGCTCTTCTCCAACCTCAACATCACCCTCATCTTCTTCTTATCAAACGTGAGACCCAGACACTTCATCAGCTGCATTGCCCTTCTCTGGACTTGCTCCAGCACCTCAACGTCTTTCTTGAGTTGAGGGGCCCAGAAATGAGCACAGTATGGAAAGTACAACCTAACTAGTGTACAATGGGGGACAATTCCTGCCCTGGTCCTGCTGGCCACACTGTTGCTGATCCATGCCAGGATGCCACTGGCCTTCTTGGCCACCCTGGCTCATGTTCAGTGGCTGTTGATCAGCGCCCCCAAACTGCCCCAGAAGGTAAAAATAACCCAGGTACTTGTTAATAAATCCCTTGAGGTTTATTAGTGTGAAATGACACTGAATGATTGCTGTTTAAAAATATATATATATATATATATATATATACACACACACATATGTAGGATTTATTTTGGAACAATTTGGTTGCAACGAAAAGCAGGTATGTAACCTTTTTGGTTGTTATCTATAGTGATATAGTGATACAAATGCATAAAAATAGCACTTAAGGAAATATGTTGAAGAAGAGAAAATGAAAGAATGGATAAGAGTAGAAAGGTGTACAGCCACCACCTGAGAGCCCAGTGACATGACTAGGTTGTAGCAATTTTATTGGTCAAAGTGATGGTCACCGTCTTAATCCATCAGGGGTGGGGGAACCTCATGAAGCACAAAGTCCAATGGGTTAATATATGCTCAGGTTTAGGTGGGAATGACTGTCTACTTCCCCTAGTGAGGGGACCTTGCAGGTGGAAGTCCTGAAGGATGAATCTGGGGGCACTTTGGGTGTTTTTGGTGGCTTGCAACTCCTTCTAGGACATGAAAGCCACCTCTCAAGTTGATGTAGTTCAGCCAACTATGCGCTATCAGAAGAATGAATTTTCTCAGGCCAGCCTGAGATTGTGAATATCTCCTGTGAATGTGGCTGGCCTTCCCTGGGGGCAGGGTGGGAGTTTTACAACTGAGGCGGAGTTTGTGTGAGGGAAGGCAGCTGGCATGATAAAAGGCACTATTCCTTCTCTGCGGGGTCTGTCTCTTTTCTGGCTTGGGACCTCTTCTCTCTCTTGTGTGGACCAGAGACTTGCCTCTACATGCCCAAAATCTCACCTTCTCCTCCTCAGGGGTGCAAATCTGGCCTCAGCAAAGCACCCTGCCAAATCCACAAATAAGCAAGGCTTTTGTGTCATTAACCATTAACTTTTCAGTCTCTCACAGTCCATTTCCATCAGACAACTTTCCAGCCCTTCTTCCCTGTGCAATTTGATATCAGAAAAACAGTCACATTTTAGCACCACCACCAAACCCTGAACAAAACATAATTGAGATTTTTAATCTCTTCCTTTATTGACTATTTAGAAAAAGTAGCAGAGAGAAAGATGTGGTGAACATCTTTCTGGTGGTAAGATGTGGTAAACATCTGCAGAAAGAAAATGTGGTAAATATAAATGTAGAAAAAAGCAAGAAATTAAAAATTCTGGTAAAATTCTGGGTTCAATAGAGTTGTCCAGGAAAAATACGAAGAAAGCATTTTTAAATCATTCTGAAGAACTTTATGCAATTTTCTTGAAGTAGTGTTTCTCTGAAAACAGTTTAGGCAGTACTTACTTCACAGAACCGTTTCTGACTTTACACAACATTTGCTCACTTTGGCAATGTGTTTTCCATTGTCAGCCTTTCAAAACCAGCAGCACTGGCTTCCCTTTTATGCCTGATCTGGTGTACTTAGGTCATAAGGTACAATTAAACTTTCAAATGTATTGCTTTGTGAATTAAGTATATTTCAGTCTGGCAAAGCATGATCAGCTAGACATGGAAGTGTACCTTGCTGTGCTTCTGGGAGAGGTGAGGTATTTCACAGAGCTTTCTTCTGCACTTTCCAAAAGAACAGAAGTTGGTCTACACATAGGATTGGGAAAGCATTCATGTAATGCCAGAACTTACTGTAAATTCTTATTCAACAGCTTCAATACTGCTTACAGAGTTGAAATATCCTTTACACTAACACCACAGTTCTT